CAGTTTACCTTCACTTAAAGGGTCCAACGTGTGGATCATCAGCTGGAAAATGCTGTTCCGCATCAAGCTGTTGTGCAGCGAGGCAGAACTACCTCCCCTTTGAAGGCGAGGCCGCGCCTGTGAGAGGAGACAAGCGTCAGTCAAATATTCTGCTACTGCTTTCAGTATCCAGTAAATGTCCTTAATGCGAGCTTAAAGCCATTTCTAATCCAAGAGTATTGAGCTAAATGTGGGAAAACCACGCTGTTTTGTAGGCTTTTTCATTTTTACATTAGAGGGAAGATCATTCTAGGGACTTTAACTGTTGTGAAAATCCACAACATTTTAATTACAGAAAGAAGGATTCGTGTCAATGCAATGTTTGTCCATGAGCATATGATGTGCTACCACCTTCAATTATGCTTCCAGTTGGAATATGATTCCCTAATCCTCTTTAACATAAAAAACCCTAAGCAGAACCTGCAAGCGAGTTTAAAAAAAAATCATAAAGTACTACAGCTTCTTAAAAATATAAGCTTCGTGGGCTTGTCACAGGCATTTACACTTAGTGTGGCATTTTTTTAGTTCCTTTTGCGGAAGAAAAAAAACAAAAAAACAAAAAACAACCCTCGCCAAGGTCGCTCCAGCAGCCGAGGTGGAACTTGAGAATTGTGGGAAATTAGGCACCGTTGCAGGTGACAGCTGCTTGCTGCGAATGTGTCCACCTTTGGCTCATCAGAGGTGATGCGTAGGCAAAGGAGGTGTCAGGTGCTAATTCACAGCCTCCCATGGGTGTGAGCGGGAGGCAAGAGAGACAAGCGGAACGGCACGACTCGTGTGAGGGTTAGAAAGTTGTAGATTCTCAGTACGACACCAGAGAAAGTCCGTCTGCTGTTTTATCTGCGTTCTCTGCATTCGGGATGGAAGCTCTTGTGCCTGCTGGAACTGCGTAAGCATTAAAAGTGTTTTTTCAGAATCCAGGCTTCCTCCTCGATTGCCTTTTACATGCTGCGCCCAAATGCAACTGTTGCAAAGGAAGTGCTTTGGGAAACAGACGGAGCTACTCTCGGCACAGAGGGAGGCTGAGGGTTAGAGATAACAGTGTACATGTCTTCTTCACAGTATGGCGGGAGAAACAGAAGTTGCTCTAATACATCTACACAGAAACAGGGACAAACACAGAAGAAGACGGGGGAGTGTCAATCAGACAGGACCTACCGACAACTTGCCGTCATCCTCTGGCGCCCCAGGACTTGCCTTCTCATCCAACACAAAGAGAAGAGGAAGTATAAAAGGGGGGAAGAGGAAGAGGAAGAGAAAGAGAAAACAAGACACAGATGTGAAGCAAGCCTCACACAACCACAGAGACAAGACGACGAGACAGTAGAGAAAGACATTACGGCACAGTAACAGTGACGGTGACGACTGACTGTGATGCAAGTGGACAAGACTTGAGGGACAGATTCCTCCCCACTGCTGTGCCTGCCTACTGTGTCAGTCACAAGCTGAGCAGGATTAGAACGTGTCGACTTAAATTTCCTTGAAATACATTCAAATATGTCATTTCGATTTGAGTCATTTAAATCAAGGCTGTCAACTCGCATCAGAATTTAAGGTGCCCCTTGTTGCTGTGTGAAAGTATAGGCGAAGAGTTAAGTCGGCTTGCTATGGCAAGATGGTTGTTTAATACTGAGATTATTAAATGCGGTTACTCGCATGTATTGAACTTTAAAAGCAATTTCTTAAACAAATAAATGTAAAAAAAACAAAAAAACAACAAAAAACAAAACAAAGATGGAGGTGGTGGAGTACACAGGGTTGCCCAATCAGCACTAACCTAGATAAAAGATGGACATGGCAACCATGATGTCATCCGCAGGCCTGTTGTGAAGCCACAGGCTGACTGTTTTTGCTGTACGCGTTGTTGCGTTTTGTCAAACAAGGAGCAGATCTGACTGAAGAGCTCGTAGGTTAGCGATTTGTGGAACGCATGCATCACCCTCCTTTATGACTAATTTTTATTTTATTTTTTACGATACTACAAATTTAACAATCTAGGCTGTAAACTCATCAGGACCGTTTTTACTGTCGCCACAGTCAAATGAAATGAGGAACGTATAGACTTCTACACAACCAGACCTCTTTCGTACTCAAACATTAGAAAAAATGTCCGTTTATGGCATTTCTGCATTGGCTTTTCACCCAGACGCTATGCCCATCTTTTATATACATTCTATGGTCCAGACGAGAGGTATTTTTGGTGCAGACAGACCTCTTATATATGGTTTGGCGGACCTAGACACACACATACACTCACTCACTCATGGCAAAAGAAAAAAAACCCACAGGTTGCCTTACAGAAATCTGTTACTTTAGCCATTATTTACCAAAGGCTCTATCAGCTCAAACTTAACAGTGAGTGAGTTTGAAAAAGGGGCGTACTTGATTTATAGCAAAAAATAAAATGTAACACAGTAATAACTTTGCCTCAGTTATTTCGTCGCCATGATTGTTCAGAAATAAGACATCAAAATTAAAATGAAGACATATACTGCCTGCACATACTTAGTCATAGAAAACTATTAAAATGTAGAGACAAATGTGTTTACTTGTATAGGTAAAGGTAAAGATCAAGTTAAACCTGGAAAACAGAGATAATGATGGTTTCCAAATAATGTACCAGTTTCAAAGTTTTCCAGTTGTTATGCAAGCTACCTTTAAAGTTCTTTGAGCCCTTTACTGAGGATTAGACGGAAATAGCAAGCTGTCCTGTAATTTAAAAAAGGACCTACTAGCATCTTATTAACATGTGGCATCTGTCTTTATGCAATCTCTGTGGCAGCTGTTTTAATGTGAGAAGTTGGGCCGAAGCTTCGTATTTATAACTTCTGAGACTCTTAAGAGAGTCGTACTGATCAGCTCATCTAACTCTCACCAAGTAAGCACATAAGTGTGTTCTGCCAGTTTTAATGTGAAAAACTTTCGTGCCAAAGAGACTCGAGCCTTTTTAACAATCGCTCGATTTTCCTGCCATCGTTCTCAGCAGGCCTTTTTGGCATGTACAGCAGAGTACTGTAACACAGTTTATTTTTGAAACAAAAGCCTTTCACCAACTGCCTGACAGAACTGTGCTCACTTCATCTCCAAAAATGTGTGCGAAATAACAGTCGCTTAAGGCCTCTGTTTCTAACTGCAAGAGAACAAACACAAAGCTTTTGTTCAGATCTTAGAACACCGAGGCTTTGTTTCGCTGCCTACACGGTTTCAAACAGCAGTGTGTAGAAAGAGGCGGCACTGGTGTGCATTGATAAGGTGCAAGATGTACAATGAAATTCAGACGCCGGTTCAGTTTGATCTTGTGAGGTTTTTTTTTAAAAAAAACGCACAAATTTCGAGACAGGGCCTGCAAACTTGTCAACACGCTGATTAATTTTCTAAATGACGCTGCATTCAATTAAACTTTTTTTTTTAAATCTGCTAACTGTACACGAAGCAGGGGTGGGATGTTAACAGATTTCTTGTTTTTATGAAAAAAGAGCAATAAATTGAGTCGCTTTCGTTTTGATAATAAGACAGAAACTTTTAAACTAATTAAATTGAACATTAAAAAAACGCTGGACTTGTTAGCGTGCTCTATTTATAAGAAAAATCCCCACTGCAGTCCCTGTGAACGTCATTACCCACCACGTCCCACTGTATCCCGCTGTTTCTGTTTAACAGCTCATAATTTACCATATATTAGTTTTGCTGCTGTGCGGCAACTGAACAATTGCAGAAACGAGAGAGCTGAAATTAAACATTTTGCCCCAAAAATTAAGCAGAAGTTGAGCTAATCCTGAGATTTTCCACAAAGCTATTCCACTGTAACCCCCTCCGCCCCATCTTCAGGGTAATTCACTGCACCGTCTAGCATAATTATTCTATTTAACTCCCTCAAATTCAAGTTAGGAGGGTTAGGAGAGAGCAGGTGAATGTGCCAGATAGAGATTATGCCATGGGTCGCTCATTAAGCCAGCGTTAAATATTATGACTAATAATCACATAGGGAGATTAGTATGTTCTCTGGAGTTTTTGTGTTCCCTAATACCCCCGGCTCTGCTTTCCAGCTCTTACGTAATGTCACATCAGGATCATTCTTGGAAGCGGATCAGCAATGGGAGATAAATGTCCCTCCGCCGCCGTATGCATGTAACACTGCTTTGTGCAGAATTATCGATGAAGGGTGTGACATCCTGCAAAAAATACCTCCACTTTTAACCACGAAGAAGGGACTTTCAGAGGAATCTGAGCAGATGCTGCAGGCAGAGCTGGAACTCCTGAATTTCCAATATTAGTGGTGGATTATAGGTTTTCTCATATGCAATCAGAGAGCACAAAAGTGGTCTATTTCTGGAGGAATTTGATTTGCATTTCCTTTATGCTTTGACACCCAAGCCAAATTACACAGGAGAATAATAATAGCTTTTTATACAGTATCGAGTTTGCCAGCGATCGAGTTTGATTAAATCCATCACAGCTGCAGATGATTCTTTATATCTCTATCCTCATTATTACACTCTACGTATATTACAAAGTGCGATAACAGTAGAGACATAAAATTGTTGAATTCTTAAGAGCCACTGTTCGTATCATCTCCACTTAATTTCCTCAGATATTATTGTATTCTAGTGGCTAAAATACAGTTATAGTCTTAGCAAAATTTCACATGAGAAACTAGGAGAGTTTTAAAAACTTCTTCCTTTAGCCATGGTTTAAGATACAAATGTTAAAGTCAAGATCTATGGAAAATAATAGCTCTCATATCTATAAATAGTTCGGTTAGAAATTGGAAAATCTCTGACTCTGTCTAATGTTTCCTTAAATATTTTTATTGAATAGTTTAGGAGGTAATCTGCCATAAAAACCCAAAGTATTAAAATTGGTACTGAGGATTATCCACCGTCCAAACGCATGCATGTTAGGTAAACTGCTGATTCTAAATTGGTTGTAGGTGTGAATGTGAGTGTGAATGGCTGTCTGTCTCTCTGTGTTAGCCTAGTGACAGGTGTTCCCGCCTCTCACCCTATGGCAGCTGGGATAGGCTCCAACCCCACCGTGACCCTGAACTGGAAAAACTGAAGAAAACAGATGGCTGGATTATCTATAGACTGTATGGGAGCATCACACATACACTGATACCTGCTAAATATTGTGATGTATAAATCCTGTTAAATCCAGAACTGAATTTAAAATCCTTCTCCTCAAACACACAGTCTTGAATAATCAGGCCCCATCTTATCTTAAAGTCCTCCTAGAACCATATCACTCTAGAGCACTTCACTCTCAGACTGCTCATTTACTTGTGCTTTCTTGGATATTTAAAAGTAGAATAGGAGGCAGCGCTTTCAGCTTTCAGGCCTCTTATTCTTTCCTTCCTTTTTAACAAAGCATGTAGTCAGGACTGGATCAGGTCACCCCGAATCCTCCCTTAGTTGCGCTCCAATAGGCCTGCAGTGTTTCTTCTCTACCTTTTTTCACTCACTATCTGTTTACACACCGCTCTGCATGGAATCGTTGGTTATTATTAATCCCTGGCTCCCTGTCTTTTGTCCTGTCTCCCTCCCCTCACCTCCAATCAGTCGTAGCAGCTGGCTGCCCCACCCTGATAGGTCTACTAGAGGTTTCATCCTGTTAAAAAGGAGTTTATCCTTTCTACTATTGCCAAGTGCTTGCTCATGGCAGGTCATGTGATTGTTGGGGTTTCCTCTATATTATTGTAGGGTCTACACTAGGAAGCGTGTTGAAGCAACATTTGTTGTTTTTTGGAGCTATATAAATAAAATTGTATTAAATAAATTGGAACAATACTAGAATTTTATTCATGACCTGAGAATAGACTTAAATGCTCTGTTAGCACACTTGACTGAATAAGTCTTGTTGTATGATCGATAACTGACATAAAAATCTTCCAAAAGGCATTAACACCACAAACACGGTGCGGTTTAAGGACTCGGCCCAAACAGGCCTTTCACATTTTGATTGCTGTCACGAGCAAAAAGTGATACTACAGTAAATCTTAGTTTAGCAGTCAAAGCAGAGACGGACACACTAAAAATAAAGCATATGTAAGTCTGTCTAGACCGCCCAGCTTGCTGAGTGAACTTAAAAAGTGAAATCTTGCACAGCTCCAGGCGATTGCCTGCAAGTACTTAGAAGGCAGCCTGTCTGTCAGAGCATGACAGAACACCCTTTGAGATTTGTCCATCTAGACTCATCGTGTTAGAGCT